ATTTTAATTCAGCTTCCATTGGAATGATTTCTGTTTGTATGGAAAATCCCAGTCAACCGTGGTTGCTTAGAGTTATCAACTGGCCTCAACGTTTTTGACAGATTTAACTGATGGTCCAACAATTATTTTCTGTTAACTCCCAAAATCAATGATTGAATAAGCTGTGAACTTGAACAAATCATTTTCTGGTACAGTCTTTGATGCAATTTGTCAATTTTAATTCAGCTTCCATTGGAATGATTTCTGTTTGTATGGAAAATCCCAGTCAACCGTGGTTGCTTAGAGTTATCAACTGGCCTCAACGTTTTTGACAGATTTAACTGATGGTCCAACAATTATTTTCTGTTAACTCCCAAAATCAATGATTGAATAAGCTGTGAACTTGAACAAATGCATGATCAAATATTTTTTACGATGAATTAATTATTTTTAGACAGACTAGGGAATAAGGAATGTAAAAACGTACAAGGCATGGTCGAATCTTCTGCTAGTTGCTTACAATGTTATTTCAATTGGTTCTGCACAGGTTGAACTGGCATACTTTGATCATGGAGGCATCCTTCAGTACGTCATTCGGAATCTAACAAAACAGTGAATTCTCTGAAGAAATAATTTGGCTTGTTGTGGGCCAATTTCGTCACCTTGCAAGTGTTTGTTGGGTTGTTTACGTGGTGATAATTTGCTTTCTTGACATTGAGCCGGTGTGATTAAACGCTTACATAGCTGCTTTTCCGCTTCCATACATGTTTTCAATAAGAGCGGGGGATTGTATGTTCTTTTTTCCCATTTAGTCAGTATTGGGGGTAAAAGTGTCTTGATGTGTACTCGCTCTTCACTCGGACAGCTAGGAATAATGTTAGTCTACTGAAAATGCAGTTTGATTCTTCATTATAATATTGCTGTTTATTCGAGTGAACCTATAGCATAGAGTCGAGATACTCTGCAACGACTGTCAACAATTGACTCGTCTGTATATGAGTGGACTTACTCTTGCTATAGCCAAGACGAGAGAGATTCTGCAATGGACGCATCTGAAAATTTTATCTTGTTTCAATGATTGGCCAAAAAATATTCACTTTTCAACTTCAACATCTAAGATCGTTTCATTCTTAGTTCCTCCTTTCCTCGTCCATAAATCGGTCCGTAAACCTAATATTTGGTTGTAATTTTTCTAGTTGTGATGATGATCATGATTAATGTTTTGACTAGTACATCCTTGTAATCTTACAATGTTCAAATATATGCCCCCTTCAACGCAAGAACCAATGCTTTTTCTCTTGTATCTGTCATTACCCATTACCCCTCTCCACGTCGTCGTCGTCGTCTTGCATTCTTCGCTCTATATATATTTTTCAGCAAGTATTGTTCATTGACATGTGTAACATTAAATGATAAATTTACTTGTGTTATGAAATTTATTTAATTGGATCAATCATATGTTGTCATCTAAACTGGTGCCTAGCACCAATGATGATGAATAACATTACTCGTGAATAAGATCAGTTCTCAAAGTCGAACCCAAGCCTTTTCACCTTCGAGATAAAAGCTGGTCAGTCTTTTCCCTCTTAACATTGTTTTAAAAAGCTATGCAGGCTTACCCCTTCGAGGTGTGTATCACACGAGGCTTTCATTTATTCCTTGAGGTTAACACCTTTAGTGTCATTTCAAAATGGGAAAATTGCAATCGAGGTGTCAAACATTTCGCTTATTAGCAGGCTTTGTTCAAACCTCTCATTTGTGCTAATCACGATACCAAATCTTTCAAGAAATCCAACTTAACGGAAACTGTTAGTTCATTTGTTAGTTGACCAAAAGTCAATGATTTAACCAAATTTTGACTAATTTTAAAAGGTTAAAATGGTAAATTTATATTTTCTAGAATAAAACAATTAAAATAAAAAATCCACTTCATCTTCTCCACTCACCCCACACATACCTACCCCAACCAAACCCTAAAAGAAAAAACTAGAACCCACCCACTTCCCGGTCACCGCCACCCGCCACACCGCCACCATCCTTCTGATTACAGAAGCTCTTGAAAAGGGGGAAAATAGAAAAAAACACCATTGAAATTTTTGACAGTCTTGAAACTCTTCGGTTCTAAACCTATTTTCACTACCTTCTAGCTGAATTGCCCAAACCTTTAACTGGTTTTGGAATCAAGAGTCAATATTCTCTGATTTTATGTCCATTTTCCCCACATTCTCTAATTGAATCACCAAAATCTCATGTTGATTTCGGAATTAAGATTCAAAATCTCACGCTGATTTCGGTTAGATGTACCCACAATAATTTTCATCCCAATCGAACCTTCACGTCACCACCACCATCTAACTGCCACCTTCGCCATCGCCTTTCCTCACCATCAACACCTTCATTCAATATTACTACAACTTCCACCACAACAATGGAAAACTCTCAAAAACAAATCTGATTTCAAAATTAGTTCTGAAATTCAGATAAAAAACACAAATATGACAACTTGTAACTGAGAAAAAAAAACAGAGTAAATCATAGAAAGAAATTGAAAATAAAGTTCTTTAATCACAATTTAGGGTGTTTGATTTGGAGGAGTTGTTGAGAGCTTCAGCCAAGGTATTGGTGAAGGGAAGACGATGGTGGCAGTTGGCCTAGGTGGCGACGGTGGTTGGTGGCCTGGATGGCCATGGCAATCGGCGACCTGGGTGCGGTGGCGATGATTTTGAGCCAAAGAAGAAATGGTTTGGGTGAGTAGGTGGACTGGGATTCGATCGAAAAATTGCCTTAAAAGTTGCCCAAAAATTTTGAAAATCTGCCCAGATTTTCAGATTTTTTGGGCGACTTTTAAGGCAATTTTTCGGCAACTTTCGACCATCAAAACTATCGAATTTTGATACCATTGGAAAGCCCACAATGTCCTCTTCAATTACCATCCAAAATTTTCTCATAACTCTAAAGGATTCGATCGGAATAAACCCACAAAATCAACATCTTGAAAAGGCGAAAATCTGGACAAAGTTCATGATGCTGACTTTGTGGGTTTATTCCGACCGAATCCTTTGGAGTTATCGGGAAATTTTGGGTGGTAATTGAAGAGGACATTGTGGGCTTTCCAATGGTATCAAAATTAGATAGTTTTGATAGTCGAAAGTTGTCGAAAAATTGCCTTAAAAGTCGCCCAATTATTTGAAGAGACGAGTGGTGAATGAGTAATTATATGAAAAGATGAGTGAGCATTCAGTAATATGTGAAAGATGAGTGAGCAAGTAGTAATCAAGTGTAAAGTTCAGTGATTATTGGTTAAATTTATTCGTAGGTGGACTGTTTGTTTTTATCATTTTTTATTATTTATTTTTTTAATTTATACAAAAAAATGTAAATTTGCCCATTTACTCTGTAACACATTAGTCAACATTTGGTCAGACCATGGACTTATGGAAAACTAAAGTTTCAAATTAACGGAAACCATCTATTTTGACTTCAAGTAAGAATTTTTGAAAGGTTTGGTACTGTGAGTGACACAAATGAAAGGTTTGGATAAAGTCTGTTAATAAGTGAAAGATTTAGTACCTTGACTGCAATTCTCCCTTTCAGAATTAGAAAATGCATCAAATTAATGAGACTAATGTTGTGCGCCACAAAGCTAAGCCTTGGGCCTGTTAAGTTTTGCACTCAATTGTTTTATTTTTTTTATTTTTTACACAGCAAGAGACAGGAAAGATAATCGAATATGAGAGAATTTATATTTGATTGGAACGATGACATGGAAATCAAATATGTTGATAATTCTCTTAAAGATCATGCTAATAGCGTTAATTTTACTTGAACACTCATTGTCAACTTGATATTTGTACGAAATTTCAAGTCTCTTTTTAATACACTAATTAAAAGTTGAACCCAATTTTGAGGGTCCCCACCGTCCCACACCTAAAGTTTTGTGAGGGAGGTAAATCGCGGGATGTGGTCCAGCAAGCCAGAGAACAAAAACTGCATGTACACTGTGCCTAAAAGGAGTCTAATTCCATATCTCGGGAATCGAATCCCCACACTGCGACTGCCAGCATGGCGTGAGATAATCTCACTCCCATCTTTTTAATACACTAATTAAAATGAGATCTGATAGGTGAAAAACAGTTGGATTAGGTTTGTATTAAGGACTGCATCAAAATTGGATATTTGTATTTATTTTTTAGGGTTGAAATGTGCTCTCTAATTTTACTGTACATTCAATTTATGGTTTGATACATCATCAATTTAGTGGATTAGTGGAGAATCTAATGAGGATAAATTTGAGATAAAATGTTAATTATTGATGATGTGTCAAGAATTAATCAAATAGACAGTAAAATTCGACAGCAGATCTTGATTTTATTGTTAATGAATATAATTCCACAACGAATAAATATAAAAACATAGATCAACTTATAAGGCTTTAGGCTATTCCTCTTAACAAGGTTGACTTTTTAAGATAGAACCTCAAGTTTTAACGTGATATCAAAGCCCATAAACGCTGACAAGCGATTCGATTCAATTAAAACTCAAAAAATGAACATACGGATTTCAAAATTAGTTTGCTCAAACCAGCCATCATCTTGATAAGTATGTTAAGGGATATAATCCCACAATGAGTAAGATGAAAATATAAATCAACTTATAAAATTTTGAATTACTTTTTTCAATGAGGTTAATCTTTTAAAATATAACTCCAAGTCTGAACATTTATTTCTTGATACCAATATATACAAAATTGCTTCAAAAAGATTAGGTCCGTGCTACCTATGCACAAGAAGAGCGCGTGAGAAGCAGGTCCCACAAGCACTCTTGTAATCATGCTTCGGCCGAAATATTAATTATTTAAAATTCGCAATATTATATATTTCTTTAATCATCTGAATGTTTCCCGTACATGGGCCCACCTTCCTCACGCCGCCCGTGTCGGAAATTAAGTATTGGTTCGTTGATTTAACGCGTTTTCCTATCTCGTCAAAGAGTATGTATGGTAAATCTGAGCCGTCGATTCTTTTTCCTTCAATTGTAAGTGACCCTGGTTAGAGTAGAAGTTTAACCGCGGTTAGGGCCACCGCTGTCCCCCATTTGCCTATAAATCAACCCCTCTCCTACGTTATCTTCTCGTATTTCGGTTCTTGTAAGATTTAGGGTATCAAGGTGCGTTCTTCTTCTCCTTCCTTTTTTTTCCCCTGGGTTGGATTAAATTGGCAGTCTTCAAGTTAAATCTTGGGTTCTCTTCTTGGAATTTTTCTTTTTCTTTTTGGGGCTTGATTTCATGATTTTTTTATTTTTTCAATTTATTAGTCAAATTCTTCAGTTTTCATTTCTTGTAATCATCTGCGATCGATTTCTGTCTTCTATTCTTGATGGGTTTTCGATTTTTTTAATTATTGAATATTTAAATCTTAATTGGGGACTTTGTTCTTGTTTGTAATAATCAGCGATCAACTTCTGACTTCTATTCATGATGGGTTACTTAATAATCGAAAATCTAAATCATAATAATTAGGATTTCGTTTCTTGTAATCATCTGTGAATAATTTCTCTCTTCTATTCTTGATGGGTTTTAGATTTAGTTAATTAATTGAGTAAGTAAATCTTAATTGGGATTTAAACATGATTTAGAATATGTTTATGAACAAAAGGGGTTTGGTTATGAGTTTTAACATAATTGACAGTCTGTTAATATTTGTGTTTGCTTTGATAATTCTTCTTTTTTGCTGTTTTGATCATTTAAAATAATTCGTATGAAAAATTTTATGCAGCTTTTTGTGCAGCTACACGCCTCCGATCTCGTTTTCGTCCAACAAGTTACATGGTTGAGGTAGACGTTGAAATTCCTACTACTTTCGATCCATTTTCTGAGGCCAAAGAATCAGGTGCTCCCGGTGCGAAGGAGTATGTGCATATAAGGATACAGCAGAGGAATGGAAAGAAAAGCCTAACTACTGTCCAGGGGCTGAGGAAGGAATTCAGCTACGAAAAGATCCTTAAAGACCTCAAAAAAGAGTTCTGCTGCAACGGTAATGTCGTACAGGACAAAGAGCTCGGGAAGGTGATTCAGCTTCAGGGCGATCAGCGTAGGAATGTTTCTCAGTTTCTGGTTAGTGCTGGACTTGTGAAGAAGGATCAGATCAAGATTCATGGTTTCTAAGTATTCATAAATCAAATATATCGTTTTCTATGAGTGAAGTGTGGAAATAAGAGCCTATTGTTATATATTTTCAAGAACAAATCTGGGGTTTTTCTGATATTATATACACAACCCTTTGATCATTAGATCATGTCATGGGGTATCTAGTGGATTGCAATTTTATTCCCTCTGTTATCAATGAAATTCATATCTATTTAGCTAAAAATATTTGTCGATTCGTCCCATTTCTGATCCCTTTGGTGTTTATTTTTGATCTCGGAGTGGCGCAGTCCTATATCTGCCTTTATATGTAGTAACGAACAATATTCAGCGTGTTTGTGCGATTAATGCATGTACCTTGTGGAGCTTTAAGGATCGGTCCATGGATTTTCTTTCTCAAACTGTACAAGCTTTGGATTGTTTGATAATTGTTAAACAAGGGGAAATATTATCTCCATTTTTGTTGTAGCTTGTCAAGAGACAAAAGTTAGGTGAACGAATAATATTAGATACTCCAATTGCCTTGGTCGGAAGATACGATTGGATCGTCTCTTTTTTTAAAGAGAGCTAATGTTGGAAAAAGAGAGTTGTTTGATTTACATTATTTCTTCATTAAAATGAAAAATATGATCGTCATTTATCACATCAAGTCATTAAATTTAAATTTTTATATTTTATGTGGGGTTCGTAACGATTATATTTTTTGTTCTTATTCTTTAAAAAATGAGAAAGAAACGGGACAAAATGTTGGTTGCCGAAAAGTTAGGCGATTAGTGTAGTAACATTTATTTGAGTTATTGATTATTTGCAAATAATCATGTAACATCCTTGGTTATCATGCTGAAGATTCCTACACGAAACTAGTAGTGAATTGTGGGACCAAAGAATCATAACAATGGTTATTTCATCATGATTGCCCCCATAAACTTTAAAGGCTTTGATTTGGTATTTTATCAAATTGGGTGATTAGCGCAAAACGTTCGTACATTTTTATTTTTTGACATTTTTATTCATACTTTCACTTTTATTGGGGAAAGTATCGTTTTTATCAAATTTCTCGTGTAAAATGATAAATGTACCTTCTATTTAAATAAAATAATGATGAAAATGTCAAAATAAAATGTACGGACATTTTGCACAATAATAATGAAAGGTATGAACGTTTTGTTCTAATTATTCTTTTAATAATTTACTTGGACCCATTTACACTTCTTAAAAAAGTTTGAGAGTATAATTACAATTTATTCTTTAACTTTTCTTTTCTTTTCTATTTTATTTTTTATTTAAATAGGGTGTATAGTTGTCATTTTATACGAGAAATTTGATGAAAATGATGATTTCCACAATAAAAGATGAAGGTAAGGGTAAAAGTGTCAAAAAAGTGAAAGGTATGAATGTTTTGCATAATAACATTGAAAAGTAATGACGTTTTGTGTTAATTTCCATTTATCAAATCAATCTAATATAGTAGTCTAACCAGCCAAATTATCTTTCATCATTTGGTCGTGGATACAAAATCTTTGTAATAATAATTTTGTTTGATTAAAGAAAGAATAAGAAAATATTGTTTTTAAAATAGAAAAATAATTTTTGAAAGAGCTTCCTATTTCGAAAATGTTTTAAGATGATGCTATTGGATCAACTTTCTCTAAGGGTGCATTTGATTATAAGTATGAAATTTGGATGGAAAGAAACTAAATTTTAAGTAATTCAATTGCTTAGAATATATTTGTATGGAAATTGTCAATTAAATGTGTTTAATTGATTTATTTTTCAACCTAGAAAATATTATATTTGTCCATTTTTTATTGGTGGGTTAATGAGAGAGAGTGGATAAATTAGAGAGAGAAAGAGAGAGTGTTTGATTGATATAGAAAGTATCACCTAAAAAAGAAAATATTTTTCTTATTTTCAGGAAAATAAAAACCTACTTCTTCAAGGAAATTATTTTCCTTAAAAACAAGAAAAATTAAATATATTTTCAAAAGTTGAAAAATATTTTTAATAAAAAATAGTAATCAAATACTAAAAAAGTAGTAATTTGGGTGGAAAACTGATATTTTTTATGAAAAATAAATGCAATCAAACACACCCAAATTCATTCACTGGGAGCTTTCCCAAGACTCATTCTTCTTAGGAAACTGTTGGGAAATACACCGATTATGTGCATATTATATTCATAAAAACATACCGTTTATTTGCGTGAAATCGAAACTTAATTTCGACTTACCAAAATAAAATTTGAGAAACAAAACAAAAATAGTTATCGAATCCGAATGCATGAATATGGATTCATCTTTTTCAATTCTTGAACGAAAGCAAATTATTCTTTCGAATCAAACCTTGCAGAATAAATATGTAAATAATGTTAATCAGTTTCTGAGATCCAATATATTTTTTCGTTATTGAAGAAGGAATCACCAACCCTAGTCAGGGGCAGAGCAATTAATTTAATTGTTGAGGACATGACGTAAATCACGTTTCATATAAAATAAAATGATTAAGGTGGATTTGGTAGTGATTTCAGTGACATCGATATTTTTGAATTGAAATATTTATTGGACTCGTGTTAAACTGGATTTGATGAGAATTAGAGCTTGGCTCCAAATGTTGGATCCAAGAACTAGTAGAAAATATTATTGAGTTACCCCCAAGAATCCATGTAAAAAAAGAAAGTCATCAAATTCTAAAGATTTTGTCCACTTCTAATATCAATAGAAAAATGAGACACGTACCAACAAAAATTTAACAAACAATGAATCTCTTAAATATTTATTTAAGATTTATCAAATAATCGATTATATCAGCCTATCCTCTACATTTAAAAAACACACAATACTTTTTCCGTGTCAAATCAAAGTACTAATATAAATGGTTATTCCTTGTCTTACATCTAACGATGAATTTGATCTTACATCTTAACACTAAGAATCTTATGCTAAATTTACTAATCTACCATTGCATACGAAGATCGAGAGAGATGACCTCAAATTCTTTTTTTTTTTTTTTGATAACCCAGGTGTCCCAGCTTAGTCGGATTAAATCCTGGACCTCTAGCCCCCGGCCCCTCAGTGACTAGTGGAGGTAAATCGCAGGTTGTGCCCTTGTTGATTCCCAGGTTCCCACATGGCTTTTACTCCTTCCCCAAAGGGACCCTCCTCCATGGTTATTACATCACCAAGCTGCTCCAACGCTCAAATTCAATATTACATTGAGCTGTGGTATACAAAATAGAAGTATTCTTATTACTTATTGGATGACGTCAAATGAATTTTGCTCTTATTTTATATTTTGGAAAGCTCAAATGAACTTGATTAATATAATTACTTGAAGTATGTAATCATTTTTTTGGATGAAGATATTAAGTTCAGTGAAAGTTTTGGCTTTTCTAATAATTTGTTGAGTGTGATCACACTCTTTTGTTTACTATATATTATATTTTAATTGTACTGGAAATTCTCAATCTTTATTTATCGTCGAATTTATGTCCTTAACTTTGTTATATTTTTATCATCAATTTTACATTAATTAATACATCTTTATCCTTATTATGGTTTACGTTCAAAGAATTCACTAGGTGAGCATAAAGAGATTTATTTTTTTCTCATATTTTTAAATAAGTAAAAAAATACAAAAGATTGAAAAAATATCTATCCCAATCACGGTAATAGAATATTTGGACATATTCGTTATCATGGACGAGACGTGTTATTTAATTGAAAATTAATAATATAAATGCGAGGGGAAAAATTGAATACATGAGTGTACAATAACTAAAAGTTGAGAACTTTCATTGCAACTAAAATGTAGTGCAAAACAGAAATTTTAATGTGAATAACAGTTAAACTAACTTTAAAGTTAAAATAAGGTAGGCTGGTGTAATTTTATTTATGCTTCAGTTCCTAGTTTTTAAAAGTAATTATCAAATGTACATAGGACCCGTTTGGTAGTTCTCAAAAGAGGTTTTGAGATTTAATTTTTTTTATAAAATATATTTGAATAATTTTTTGAAAATACTAATAACTTTTATAGAGGATACTGATGAAAGATAACTTTCTCAAAAACCTTTTAGCCCCTCGTTTGGTAGAAATTTTCCAACCCAAGAAAAATCATTTTTTTTTATTGTTATTTCACCATTTCAACCGTCATTTTTTATATATTCACTCACAGACGGGATTCACTTTTCTCTCTAACGATTAAAAAAATCAATTTTCATAATTATTACCAAACAGGTCATTATATAAAGATAGAAATCCTATTTCTTCAAAAAGTATAGTCAATATCAAAAAACATTCGAAGGGTAAGAAAATTCTATCCAGCAAAGCAGATGGAGATCGTAGATGGAGAGGAATTCACAGAAGCAATTAAAGCTCACAGAATATCTACATGCCATAATAAATGTTGAGTAAAAATGAAAGGCCCATATCTACTCAGGAGTTAATGTCCATATTCATTTTCCCTGTAAGTAAACTAGAGGCCACAAACCACTGGCAGTGTAGCTCCCGGTTTTGTGGGTTTTTGTCTGACCATTTATTTTAAAGTTCGTTTGGTATAATTTTGAAATGTCAAAATGAATTTTTGCACAAGGGAGCTACATACCATAACATGGAGATTTCTTGGGAGAAGAAGAAGAACACAATTTTGCACAAGGGTGGTTTGGAAATTTTCAAGATTGAAGAAAGGGTATCTTGGTGAAGGATTAATCTTTTATTTCTTCTCGTGTCTTTTCACAAATAATTACTTTTTACTGTTTAGTATGCATAAGTTTTTAGTTACAATCCTTCTTGTTGTATAGGTAGGGCTTCACAGAATCCTATCGAAGGCTCACGTCGTTGAGTAAAAAATTGGAAAAAATTACCCCACCCCCACCCCCACCCACCTCCCGTGTAAGTGTTATATAATGAACAATTAGTCTGTACAAACAGACTTATTGTTTTAGTTAGGGTGCTGAACAAAGCTGGAATATTAGAAATATCGTTAGTTACTTAATTAATTATTGTTTGTTAAAATATTAAGAGAAGCAAAACAATTAATTTAGATGAATTTAACTGAATACATTTATTTAATTATTGTTAGAACCTGGTGATAGAAATTAAGGGAAATAAGAATCCTGACCCCTAGCACCTTTGATATATAAGTAAAACCCAATTTGTTAATTTGTGTGTATTTTAGTAGTTTTCTTAGTTAATCTTAGTTTTAGCAAAAACTTGTCATCCTTTTTTTCTTCAAAAAAATTAAAGCTATGCTTAGTTAAATCGATAATTAGCTAGACAAAATAGTTTTCATGAAAACAACATTCTACTTATCAATACATTATTTATTTATTGATATTGTACATTCTTGCAATTTTTAGTGAATGCAAATACAAGTAATAACCAATATCATATCCAAACAGTTTGGAATCACTTCTGTCAAAGCAACTAGTGAAAGTTGATCCAATACGACTTTTTTTATAAGTACTTTCGAAATGAAAAATTCTTTTAGAAATTAATTTTCAAACAAAAATTAATGTAATTTCCTCAAGAATGTATTATGCAAGAAATAAAAGTAAAAGCAAAAATAAAAACAAAAAACTTTCCTTCAAAAACCACTAAGAATGGATTATTGAATTCTTAATACAATATTATAAAAAAAAAAGTATTGGTTGGATGATATGAAATAAGATAAAGTAAAAAATAATTTAAGTTCTCTGAGGTGTGGAAAACTTGTAGATCTCATATGATGGAATGCTTGAAAGTAATAGGTTTGGAAACAAATTTCAAAGGCTGAAGTTATACGTTTCATTTTTCTAAAATGCATTCTACATAAAAAAAAAAAAATAAATAAATAAGGCTCAAATGGGTGCTTTTGCAGTTGTTGCCTTGTTTGAGCCCCATTCTTTAGGAAAAATACATTTTTCGATCGTGTTTTGATATTATTTTAACCACACATTTTTTAATAAAATAATATTACACGTAAATTCAAAATTTTTCCATATTTTTAACCACATATTTTCCATCAATACACTATTCAAAAATTCATTCTTACCAAAAAAAATGAGGCTCAAACAGGGTTTCAGCAACTACAATTTTTCTTTATTTTTTAATCACATTTTTCGAAAATCAATCTATCATGAGGGGAGCTTTTAAGTGTGTAAAGAATGTCATTTTAAAAATAAGAAGAAGAAAAAAAATTAACATCAACATTTCATTAATTGACACGAGTCATCCTCGATTGACGATTACAACTGTTGCTGCCGCTAACAAATGCAAGTGTTCTGCATGCAATAAATTAAATTAGGCAGAATTGTTAAATTGTAGTAAGTTTTACGTCTTCAATTTCAAGATTCTTTCTTTTCTTACATTTAGCCTCCATTTGTTTCTCATTTTTGGAAGAATGAGAATAAAAAATATAGTCGTTACGGATCCCACACAAGAGATAGAAATTCAAATTTGATGGCTTGATATGATGAATGATGGTCATATTTTTCATTTTAATGAAGAAATAATGAGAATCAAACAGGAGCTAAGACAAAGTAATTTAAGTTTTAGGGTTTTGATGGTTAAAAGTTTTATTTTTCATTTTTGTCCATACAGGCGAGGATTCTACATTATTCACGGTAAAGTGCATCGCTTCATCCATGGTGGTGGGTTTTTCTGGAGAATGTCCAATATTGAGTAGCTCCGTGGATTTGTTAAAATATTTTTGTAGAACTTGATTTTTTTGCTTGAAATTCTAGGTAGATGATTATATTGAGAGATTAGGATTAGGCATGGGCAAAAAAATCGAGAAATCAATCAAATCGAAACCGACTTGAGTCTGCTCGGGACGGTTTGACCCAGGTAATTGGTTAAGTTCGATTTTCTTTGAAACAAAATTATGATGAGTCGGTTTAGTTATGGTTTGAAGGTTAATCAAATAAATCCAACTTATTTACATGTTTATTTTTTTTTAATTTCAGAAAAATAAAAATCAAAAGAAAAGATCTAATCTCATAACTATATCTCGATTTCTTCCAATATATAATATTGTCAGTGAGTAATAGTACTGAAATTTTTTTTCACAAGTTTATTATGTTATACTTTGCATTTTTACTCTACTCAGGCAGTCGGAAAATTTTTAAATTTTTTGTTGATTCATTTCTATTAACCTAATTTTATTTGTTTGTCAATAGTTCTCGTAATATAAAATTATTTGATTATTCTAGTTTTTGTAATTTAAGTGGGTCCAAAACTCAAACAATTTCATTTTTTTTAAAAATTCAATCAAACTAAAAGTCCAAACCGACAAGTCGAATCGAACTGCTGCTGAATCTATGGGCAGGCAAGAGACCTCAATTTAGTTAAATAAATAAAATTAAATAAATAAATAAAGAAATTAAGTTTATAAGACAAAAAGAAAGTCAACTCATCCTACTAACCAATTCTCTATAAGAGCATCTTCAATACAATCGTGAATTATTTAAAAAAAAAAAAAATGTGACATATAAGCAAAAAAGGTTGTGTTTAAAAAAATTCTCTCCAATGCAGGTTGGTAATAACATGTCAAAATGATTTGGTAAAGAAAAATGGATATATTTTAGAGCTCCATCTAGAATCAAAAGTTCCGTTAGACATGGCTAACTCATCTAAATTTATATTTCACATCCAATATAATTGTTGTTGTGTTATTATTTTAAGAAAATAAATGAAACCTAGAAAACAATCCATAAAATGCATTGAAAGTTAATTTTAAACTTGAGTATACTCATTAGACATCGATTAAAAGTTTTTCGATGATATCTATTTTTTTCTATCACTTCATCTTGACGGGAGTCCCTATAAACTGACATTAGATATTTTTTTAAAAATACCTCTTATTTTGCTGATATGACACAATTAGATTAATTTGTATAATTTTTGTCTTTTCTTGTTGTCACATTCTTTTTTGTTTGTTCTTTTTAAACTTATTTTATTTATTTACCTAAGAGTGAGGGTGTTATAATCATTTTATCAAAAGTTTTGAAATTTTTAAGGTCAACCGAATGGAAATCATTCAAAAGGACCAAATTCGCCCATTTAGTGAAATGTTGTGGCTGTTTGCGTCAAAAATTGAAGATTAGGGACTATTTGCACAACACCGCTCCCCATAGGCTATAGGTTAGGGAACAGTTATGCCTATTTGCCTAATTTGAAAATTCATGGACTTATTAGAATAAGGTTACCTAAGAAGAAAGAAATCAAATCCCCTCTTATGGAACACCGGTCTCTTTCCAGTTTGTTTAGACAATTGAAATTAGTAATATGAGTAATTAATATGGATTGGGGGCTATGCCCATTGGAATGAACTAGTTGTTGCCCCTTGAATGTATAGATTTGGATTTAAGATGCATCCCATTGTTTACAAATCCCTTGGTTTGAGGATATAAAACAAGAAGAGAATGACTTCATTTTTTGAACACTTCCATTTTCATTATTAACTCATGTAAAATGTTAAAACTAAGAAGTGTTAAATATAAAAAGTTTGTTGGAGTACTTCAAAATTTTAACTCTAAATTTAAAGATGCTTTCCAAATGATAGAATATATCTTTTAAGAATAAAGTCTCTTGAAAATACTTTGAATCTTTTATATATTCTTATCAAGATCAACATAGTAAAATAATAATAATAATAATAATAATAATCATAATCATAATCATCAAAGATGTCACTAAAAATGAGGTCATGGATTTTTTGCTTATTTGATGGTGCTTTTAAATGTTTATAATGAGAGAGTCATTCGAAATGTGTGTATAATAAATCAATAAAAGAACTTAAGCAATTATAAACTTTATAAAACATGTACCAAGGATGAGAAGCTTTATACGTGTGTGACAAGGTCAAAAAGATTGAAAAAAATCAGTCATTCACAACCACTGATAAAGGATTTCCTCTGAAATGAGACATGGAAGGGAGCCACTACGAAGAAGTTTAGGGAGTTACAAAGGAAGTTTCGAGCTCATATTGGTCAAAAAGTCGTTTAAGCTTTTCCTGGGAGCATGACATGGGTTACTTCAGCGCAAGCGTTTTCTCTACTCCTTATCTAAAAAGCAACGGCACCCCTTCTCTCGAAGTTACGGGGCTATTTTGCCAAGTTCCTTAGAGAGAGTTGTTTCTCGCCCATGTATTCTCTACCTACCCCATCTGTACAAAATTAATAAATAAATATATCGTACATAACATTTAAAAGTTCAAAATATTTTGTAAGAAATACAAGGATCAGCTGTAACCCTAACATATAATTAAAATGGTTGCTCTTATTAGGATAAGGTCACCTAAAGGTATTAAATGGGACAAGCTGAGTCGAGTTGCTTCGCTGCTCTATCAAATTGTGCTCGACTTGCTAAATCAAAGTTTGTTCGGCTTACTCCACAAACTTACTCATTGATAAAACGAGCTGAACCCATTGTGGCTCTCCAATACATATATATTTGACTGAATTGCATTTTTCACTCATCATGACAAGTTGATTCGCATGCGAACTAACAAGCAATTCATCCAACTTAAACAGCCTTTAACTTACATACCACTGCCACCCCCTTATCCCCTGCGCAATTTGTAACCAAACCATTTCCCTTTAAAATTTTGAAGTGGTTTGGGTATACACGTATGTAGTAGGATCGTTTATTCAATTTATGATAATCTTCGAATAATTGAAATCACGACATTTCGAATACCAAGTGAGTTCATCCACCCAATCCTTTTTAAGATCAGTATCATAATTTAAGTGGATGATCCTATTATTTGACCTTTTTATTAAATGACCTTAGTACATGTATATCAAACTTTGTATAATTAATTATATAATATCACATATTATTTTATCATTTGTTAGTTTAAAATATAGTCAACTTTTGTATTCAATTTTGCTCCTACATATTATTTTATGTACTATTTTTATTTCTACGTACATGTAGCATAATTCTCTATTAAAATATTTCTAGGGGAGTTGTATGCTTGCGTTAGTGTCTTGACCGCTGCACGTACAAGCACGTGAGAGGTAACTCCAATCCAACCAACATAAATGCTCTTTTCCCTTCTTGCACATTCTCGTGCTATAAATGCGTCTGCTATTTCACGACCACGCAGTCTCTTCTTTTTCAGCTCCTATTACAACTCAAAATTGACAAGGAATTATTCACAGATTTGCTACACACGTGTTGATCTGTTACGCAGTGATGAAGAATTGTCTCTCTCGAATTGTCTCTTGGGTTTCTACAGAACTCATTATTTCTGAATCTGGGTTTCTCTTTTCGGTGATGAAGAATGTCGCTATGGCTCTCCTCACTTGCATTTTTGCTTTAGGTATGTTCAATTTGATCTTGTTAATTTCCACACTCAATGAAACAATACTGCGTGTTTTTGAATATTTCCCCATGGCCCGGATCCGTAAAAATTCAAATTCTATCGATACTTTCAATTTATTCATGAATTAATTATTGAAAATAATCCTCAAATTGGGATTTTTTTAGGTGGAGCTACAGTTGGAGCAATCACCGGAGGACTCAAAGGACAGACTACAGAAACTGGTTTTTCACGTGGGGTGGGTGTGGGTACGGTGGCGGGGGCCATCACCGGCGTTCAATTGATGGAACTCATAGTTAACGGAGAGCCATTTTCTAAGGTGATACATGAAATAAAACTTGGGTAGAATTCTGAAATTAATATATATCGCTTTCATGATTAAAACTACATCTACCAGTTCAAGTCCCCCTATGGCCACAGGGGAGTACTGGTTGTAAACTTCAAGATGTTTTGGGATTAATCGAGTTGCGCGCATGTCCCACGGTCATTAAAAAAAAAAGGATTAAAAATTAATCTGCAAAATGCAATAATTGATATTTATGGATAGAAGGGTAGCTGAATACTTCCATTAATGTCCCCCCTTTGATTTTTCATTAAAGGGACCAGGTTATCATTGTTACAAAAAATTAATCTGCCTGTTAATTTTATAATTATTTGCCTAAATGAATTTCTTGAATGAACATAAACTTGATCTTATGATTAAATGAATGAAAATAGTTTTTCATATTTCAAAGGCATTTATATTTCGTCCAACATTGGGATAATCTTTCGGGTTGCACTGATATTTAGTTTGGCGAAACCATTAATGATCTTTCATGTGTGCTAATTTAATTTGTCATTGAACGTTGGGATAATCATTGAGAGCCCCTTTTTTTCCCAAACCCATTTTTAACTACACATTCTCCCATAAAATAATTTTACACATAAACCCAAAACTTTTTATTTTTTAACCACGTATTCTCCCAAAAAGTTACTATTCCAAAACACATTTCCGCGAAATATAGGCTTCAAACAGGGGCGTAGTTTGGTGAGATCATTAATGATCTTTCAGGTTGCACTAATATGTGGATTTCTTGTATGAACATACATGTGATTTTTTTATGATTAACGAAGAATGGGAGTAGTTCTTGATGGTTCGAAGGCGTTAATTTGTCATTGAACATTGGGATCGATAATCCTTTGGGTTACTCTAATTTGTAGTTTGGTGAAACCATTAATGATCTTTCAGGTTGCATTAATATGTAGTCTAGTGAACGGGAAGATATTTATGGAATGGGTGAGTCCTGCGGTGCTCAAAGCTTATCAGTGGCAGGTGAGTATTAAATCTCCTGTCACAGTATTAGTTTTAATGTATTCCTCGGATTTCAGTTGGGTTAGCTGTGTGGTCGAGCTTATTGTTGATGGCTTGTATGTTTTAGATTAGCACTATGGAAACAAGTTTGAGGGAGATTTCAGACATTTTTGATGTCAATACTACTAGAGGATTATCTCAAGATATAATTCAGAAGCTGCCAATTTACGAATTCTATTCCCCAAGGACGACATCTTGCCACGATACAAATTGTACAATTTGCTTACGGGTGAGCTCTCCTCCGTTGATCCATTACGAGCAACATTAAAGTACTTTATCAGCCATAATGGGATGAGGTGATTTAAGGGTTTGGTTGAACTATATGTCCTACGCAGGGACCTATTTTTGTTTTTTTGGGGTGGGACCTAATTCCTACGGACCTAATTCCTTCATAGTTTCCAATTAAATCAATCGTGATTGAAGATAGAACTATCTAATCTACCTGATTTAGACGTATGGTTTGTGAGTCGTCTCAACAACTCAAAACCCTTTCGTCCTCACTACTTAAAATGACCAGTTTATTTACATATAACCCACATATTAGACCAACCATTCTCAACCACTAGCCCAAGCTGCCATTTTCTCTCCTTATTACTGTACAAATCTATTAGTTCTATTTGCACTCTTTTTTTTTTTTCTTTTTTTTTTTTTTTTACCGTTGTCACTTTCTTTACTGGTAGGACTTTAAGAACGGAGAATCTGCAAAGATGCTGCCAACATGTAGACATTTCTTTCATGTCCACTGCATAGATGAATGGCTTCTCCGGCAGGGCACATGCCCAATGTGTAGAAGAGATATCTGAATGCAATTGGATGACGAGGAGAAAACTGACTGTGCAAGAAGAAATAGGAATTTGGTCCAAGAAATGTTGAACCTCCAAATCTAAACGAAAGTATCCCAGTAATTCTTCTATCCTCAACATCGTTAGGGATGAACTTTGAATCGACAAACGTACTTTGATGTCTCATCTCTTCTGTAGGAGAGATTCTATCCCTAAACGACTAATCATCATTGTACAAGTGAAGTGGTATTTCACTATTTTCTCATGTCAATACTAATATAATGTTCTCTTAAAGACCGTCTCTCTGTTATAATCAAAGTTACTGCTGTTGTGTTTGTAAATTAACTACAAACTGCGTTAATGGATTGGAACAGAATGTTGTATTACAATAATACGTAATTGCTACAAATTGAATCTGTGATAAAGCGTGGGTTGAATCCTTTTATGACTCCTCTGATTAAGTCGATATCAGCATTGACACCGAGAGGTCACGTGACTTGATTCTTGAAATTCAAAACTTGAATTTTTTTTTTTTTTTTTTTTTTAAATTTTCGAGACTTGCCCTTGATTGGAATTTGTTTTGAAGGTGTTCTTCAAATTCTATTATTATTATTATTATTTTAAATCCAAACGGAAATTACTTTGGTCTTCAACTATTTTTCCTGGCGTTATCAGATGAGGTGTCCGAAAGAGCGGTTGAAGCTTTTCGGCCCATGGTTTTTCCAGTCCCCCGTTTGTCCCACCAACAGAGATTAAAGCAAGTCCTGAATTCAAAGGGGATGTTGAATAGTACAAATTGAACTTATTATACTCCTAAATAAGAGAAAAGTAAAAACAACTAAACAATCTCTCCCTTTCTTTTCCTATCGCACCTTGTGATGTGGCTTATGGGGGAAGTGAGGACAAGTATCCACTGTGATTTGAATTATAGATCTTATTACATGTATATCAAATTTTACATAATAGGTTATATAATGTCACATATCATTCTATCATTTTTCAATTTAAAATACAGTCAGTTTTGTATAAAAAATTTTCCATTCACATCATTTGATTCATTTCATATAATCCCCTATTTATCATTTTTACATAGTAGCATAACTCTTGAATCATTAATATAATCTTGTAGAAAAAAATATAAAAATTATTGACTATAAAGTGCCCCAACTACAATTTCAAAAATTGAGTTTTTTTTTTTTTTTTGGGGGTTAAAATTGGCCTTCACGGAGTTAAAATTCTAATTTCCCTCAATTATGCTACACAAATAAGATTGGTGATAGAATTTAAAACAGGTGGACACGTGTCAACATTTCGTTGGACAATTTGAAAAAAAAGGAAGAAGAAGGAGCCACACAGGTGCTGCATTGTCCCCAAACCCTGTCCAAGCAGTATAACTCCCAAGTAAATTGTCATTCCAATCAAGGTGAGAGAAAAGGAGAACAACCGGATTTGGAAAAAATAAATATTTAGGAGGCTTGAGATGGACAAGGACAATAATTTTATACGTACATGATTATTCATACAGAAGAAAAAAGGATACTCACATGGGGTGGGGTCCATGTGAATTTTATATTGAAAAACACACACCACGCACCCTGTGTATGTGTGTCATGTGTGTGTTTTGAATTTATGTATAAATACTGTTGAATAATCCTTGTACCCATAGCAACACTCGGACAAGGATAGGGTGGAGGTAATTTTTAGCCCTCGTGTGGACTAAAATCAAATTTTTAATAAATTTTGATAAAATTTAGAAAATGTGAAACTAAATTTAATTGTTGTCTTTGATTTGAAATTTTTAGTAAATTGTAATCTACAATTAACAGAAGCTTACTTTCATTTATGATTCAAGTGCTATAAAATTACTACATAAAGATAAAAGACTCAAAATGTCAAGAAATAAAAGCGTGACACAATTAATACATTACTCAGTATTTCGAGACCCCCTAGAGTAAATGTCGTATCATTTACACGATGAAAGGTGAGGGCAAATTTGACTTCTTCGCACCCTTTTTATGTCATTTACAAGGGCTTTTGAGACTTAAAAAATTACTTTTAAACTTATATGACTAATTTTATAAAAATATTTTTGTTTTTAGATAGAGCTTTTACATAAAATTGGTCAAAGGTAATTTCATTTAAAAGTACTTCCGAAATTGGAAACTTTTTTAAAATTAGTTACTAAACAAAAATTAAGATAATTTCCTCCAAAAAACTTTTCTACAGGAAGCAAAAACGTAAGTTACGACAAATGACTCTAACATTAAAAATCAAATAATTTCAAATTTATCTTGGATAATTATATTATCACCACGAGTTTTATTAGTTACACCATGACTTTAAATATTTTTTATTTAATTAAATAGTCTTAAGTAAAATTACATAAACAAAATTTTAATATATTTATTACATAAAATAAATTAGTTTATTGTTTGACCACATTCTTAAACCTAGTTTTTTTCTTTCTTTTCCCTCATCGATTGCCATAGCTTTGCCATGACGTTGGAGAGATGCCTATCACACGGAGAACAAGACAACAAGTTTTTGTATTGGCCACGGAGGCAACCGATATGTAAGAAACCCGGATGCTGTAGGGGCGCTGAGAGATGCACTGCATAAGTCATAAATATATTTTATAAATATAGTTACAAAATCAAAATTTATTAAATGTTCGTTTTTTCAAATATGATTAGAATAATTTATAAAGCTAACTGAAAATTCATTAAATATTTTATGCAAAAAATTGTTATCAAAAGTTTATAGTATAGATTCATTTTTGTAGTAAATATTTCAGATCAAATTTATTTGATTTAGTTTGTTATTGAGAAATCAAAATTCACAAAATATGATTAAGATGAAATTAATTGACTTTTGTATTAAAAAATAGACTTTTTGAAATTAAAATAGTATATTTTTTGCTAAATTAAAATTAAGAAAACAAGGAGATGGCCAATCATGCAACAATAGGAGGATAGGGACAATTATGCAATAAGTTTGACTTAGTAGGGTTCTAAGTGCTTTTTTCTTTAACGGAGGGTGCAAAGTGCAAACCAATAATATTGAAATATTGTGGGGATAATATCATAAATATGAAAAAGAAATAAAAAGACGGCCCCGGAGCATAGTCTAGTGATGCAAATGATAGGAGCGAGGTAATCTTACGTCTTAGTGGCAGCTGCACTGTGGGGGTTCGATTCCTGAAACATGGAATTGGACTCTTTATAGGCGCAGTGTACAGACAGTTCTTGTTCCCTGACCTGCTGCAGCATATCTCGCGATTCTAACCTTTTTTTTTTTTTTTTTTTTTAAA